TCGGATAAAATAGACTGTTTTAAAAAGTGCCATAAAAGGAGACCTAGAAGGTCACTTCATAATACTCAAGGGAACAATCCATCAAGAAGACATAAACATTGCAAATATATATGTACCCCAAATAGGAGGACACAAATACATAAAGAAAATCTTAGAAGGCTTCAAGAAAGGTATTGAAAGCAAAACAATTTTAATATGGGGTTTCAACACCCCACTGTCAAAAATAGATGGATCTTCCAAACAAAATATCAACAAAGATATTGCAGCATTGAAGAATGTCCAAGATCAAATTAACTTAACTGATATATATATAGAGAGCCTTTCATCCCAAAGAAGGAAAATACACATTTTTTGTAATGCACAAGGAGTATTTTCAAAGACAGACCACATGATAGGACATAAAAGAAGTCTTAACAAATTTAATAAAATCAAAATCATATCAAGCATTTTCTATGACCACAAGGGACTGAAACTAGAAAGCAATCCTCAGGACTAAAAATCAGAAACCCTTAAACTCATGGAGATTGAATAGCATGCTATTAAACAATGAATGGGTCAAGAATGACATTAGAGAAGAAATTTTTAAAAAATCTTTAAGAGGTTCCTCTCACGTCCCTCCTTTTCCCTCCTGTAATTTTGTTGAAGAAGTCAGGTTATCCATAGTTTTTTCATAGTTTGGGTTTTGGCAAATGCATCACCATGATGTAGTTTAGTATGTTCCTCGGACTCCTGTTATTTCCTCTAATTCATAATTAGACCCAGTGACTTTATTGGATTCAGGATCACTGTTGTATTTTTAAGGTTTATTTCGGCAAGACTGCTTCACAGGGAGGGGTGTGCATTCCCAACAACAGGTACAAAATGCCTACTTCTCAGTCTGGGATGTTAGCAATTATCAATGGTCACCAACTAGAGTCATTAATTCATTAAGGGTTGCAACATGGAGATATTGTATTATTTCTTCTTTATTCACTAACTGGAACACTTCTCTAAGAGAAACTCAGTATTTAATTGTTTGTTGTACAGTTTGTACAGAAAAGCCAAAATAAATGAATGATTCTTTACTTTTATTTACTGATTTTCAAAACAACTTCCCAGCATCCTCTAAAGATGATCAGCAAGTATGTATGTATGTATGTATGTGTGTATGTATTTCCTCACCTGAGGACATTTTTTCATCGCTTTTAGAGAGAGAGGAAGAGGGTAAGAGAGATAGAGAAATACTGACTGGTTGCTTCCCTTACATGCCCTGATGGGGACTGAACCCGCAACCTAGGAATGTGCCCTGTTGGAAATCAAATCCAGGACCTTTCTGTCTCCGGGAAGACACATCAACCAGCTGAACCACACAAGCCAGGGCTGTCAGAAAACTTTTTTTTTTTTTAACAGGTTTTTATTTATTTATCTTTAGAGGGGAAGGGAAGGAGAGAGAAGGAGAAACATCAATGTATAGTTGGCTCTTGTGCGTCCCCTGCTGGGAACTGGCCTGCAGGGAACCGCCCTGCAACCAGGCATGTGCCCTGACTGGGAATTGAACTGCGATTATCTGGTTCGCAGGCCCGCGCTCAATACACCAGCCAGGGCCAGAAAGCTTTTTAAAAACAATTTTAAGCATTCATTTACCACAGCTGATGGGTTTCAATCTCTCGAATTGGGAATTTGAACTTTCCTTTGTCAGGCTTTACTGCTGAAGCACGTGATGGAGCTCTGACTTAGTAAATAAGGTGTAAAAGAGATTTGCCATAAACTATTACTAACATTTGCTACAAACTCATCCATCTTATTTTGCCACAAAGGTTTTTTTGCTTACCAGAAAATTCTCATGTCTAGTCTCAAGCAAGCAGAAAATATTTTGGGAAAGTCTGAAGACAAGAATAACTAAGTCTTATGAAGCAAATTATGAAATTTTCCTCTAAAAAACAATTCACAAATAAATCCCAGATAAAACAGGCTTAATATAACTTCAAAATATAGGGGGAAAAAGACAGACATTATACTTGAAGTTAGTTCTGGCATCCAAGTCTCCTTCTAAAGAAGGAAGACAGAGGGTGGGACTTACACAGTAACAACACAGTTCATTTACTGCTCCTTCCAAGATTCCTCTTTAGTAGGTAAGATTTTTTTCATAACACTTAAGGGACTGTCAAACTTTTGATCTAAATGAACACTTTTAGAAAATAATTAAGGACAAGCAAAAACCACTTTACATGTCTAGTCTGACTTTAGTGTAAAGATAATACCATACCTCTTGTTTATTAAAAATTGTTTAGAAAGCACTTTTTCATGTTATGATTTCATCCTAACGACTCATTCACTGAGTATCTATAATGTACCAGACACTGCTATATACTGTAGGCTTTGGCTCAAAGTACACAAAGCTATGTGAAGAAGTCAGACATATAAGCAAATGATCACAGTACAGTGCAACAGGGATGGAAAAGGGGTCCAAAGTACTAAGGGAGTGAGTGTATCACTATTGGTAAAGGTAATGTTTGAACTGGGTCTAGAAGAATAAAGAGGACTATATCAATTAGGAGATTTTTTGATGGCAAGTAACTCCAAAGAACTGACTTAAACAATAAGAAATTTATCTGTCACGAGATGTCCCATGGTAGGGAAAGCCCCAGGCCCGAGATTCAATACGTGTCTAAAATAATGTTGTCAGGGACCCAAGTTCCTTCTGCCTTGTTGCTCTGCCATGCTTAGGGCATGCTTCATCATGCCTGTAACAACGGGGGTCACATGGGAAGAATCCTCTCCCCAGAAACAGAATGTCTCCTTCCTTTCAATCTCACTGGGACAAGTATGAGTTTGCAGGGAAATGCCTTGAGCTGACTGGCTTGGAGTAATCAAAATCTTGCCCTGGGGTGGGTGATGAATCATCTCAGTCTCCTGGATGACAAACACTGGGATACACATGAAAAACAGAAGCACAGAAAACAAGAAACAGCTTGGTATAGCTGGAATGACGGGAAATCTAAGGTTGGACACCATTTCAAACTCATGAGTTTGTACTTTGTCCTACAGACAACAGAAAGTTAACACAGGTTTAAGTAGGGAAGTCACATGCTGCAAATCGCTTTTTTAGAAATGTATGAATGGTAGCAACATAGAGAATGGCCAGAGAAAAAGCGGGAGAGCTGGAAAACAATTAGCAGTAACTTGGTTGGTAGGCTGTCAATAAACAGTGCAGACTAGTAAGGAAGTGGTATCAGGGAGGAAAAGAATGGAATAAATACTTACAAGGTGGCAAAGTTGCTATGTAAGACACTGTTTATGCATACATAATACATACATATGTTTTATTAAGTTAGTTTTACAGATCAGGAAAATTAAGCCTCAGACAGATTAAATGGCTTCCTTAAGTTCACAGAAACAGAAGTCGAAATCTGAATGGAGGTTTGAATCCCAGTCTAGTGTTCTATTACATTACAACTATAAATACTCCCAACAATGCTCCAAAAAGGGGACTTTTTTCTGAATTCTGTGATTTAAAGGATATTGTGTGTTACTGGATTAAGATGACTCCGATTTATTACAACTTTAATGTAAGGTTCACTATATGAATTCAATGCTAATTATAAAACTTTACATTATGTTTTTTTAAGTGCCTATATTATTTAATGTAGTAAGGATGCTATGAAAAATGATTGGTAATGTCACATATAGACTGTCAAGAAAATTAAAAACCAAAGATCTCATTAAATATTTTTGAACTTGTTTTGCAAATATTAATAGGTACTGGATGTCTGAATTGCATTATAAATCTAAAGTAAATCATGCCTCTCTGAAATTTTGGATTCTGATAATTTCTTTCCACGAGCATCAACTTAAAAAAGAAAATGTTAGTTCATTTCTTAAAAAGATACCTCTTTTTAAAAAACTTACTTGCACCCTGGCTGGGTGTAGCTCAATAGATTGAGCACAGGCCTGTGAAGCAAAGGGTCACTGGTTTGATTCCCAGTCAGGGCACATGCCTGGGTTGCAGGCCAGGTCCCTAGTATGGGGCATGTGAGAGGCAACCACACATTGATGTTTCTCTCCCTCTCTTTCTCCTTCCCTTCTCCTCTCTCTAAAAAAATAAATATATATATTTTTAAAAGATAAAGAAAAAAACCCTCACTTGCCCCTCTTTTTACAGTGGAGAAGTCTGATAAGTTAGACTTCATTAAAATTAAAAACTTTTGTGCATCAAAGGACACTCAACAGAGTGAAAAGGCAATGCACCAAATGGCACAAACTATCCGAAAATCATGCACCTGATAATGGACTGATACCCAGGACCAATAAAGAACTACCAACAACAAAACAAGCAACTTGATTTAAATAATTTACATAGATATTTCTCCAAAGAAGATATACAAACAGCTGATAAGCATATGAGATGTGAACATCACTAATCATCAGTGAAATGCAAGTCAAAACCACAGTAAGCCCTGGGCAGGTAGCTCAGCTGGTTAGAGTATTCTTCTGATATGTCAAGGTTGCAGGTTCAATCCTAGGTCAGGGCACATACAAGAATCAACCAATGAATGAATAACCAAATGGAACAACAAATCAAATGCTTTTTTCCTCTCTTTCTCCAAAGTCAATTAAACACACACACAATGAGTTGCCACTTCACACCCATTAGGGTGACTATTATAAAAATAAAGTGCTGAGGATGTGTAAAAACTGGAACCCTTATACAGTGCTGCTGGGAATGTAAAATTTTATGGGTGTATATATACGCCTAAAAGAAATGAAAGCACATCCTCAGATATCTGTACATCCTGGCTCAAAGCAACACTATTCATAACAGCCAAAAAATGGAAACAAACCAAGAATCCATTCACAGATAAACACATGAACAAAATGTAGTATATACATACAGTAGAATATTATTCAGCCTTAAAAATGAAGATTCTGACAAATGCTACAAGACAGATGAACCTTGAAGATCTTATGCTAAGTGACATAAGCTAGTCACCTAAGGATAAACATTGTATGATTCCACTTACATGGGGTTCCCAAAGTAGTTTAATTCAGAGACAGAGAGTAAATGGTGGTTGTCAGGGCTGTGGGTAAAGAGAAATGGCGAGTCAGTGTTTAATGGGCACACAGTTTCTGTGGGAGAAGATGATGAGCGCTCTGGAGATGCGTGGTGGTGATATTGCACAATGCTGCAGAACTACAGACTTAAAACAGGTTAAAATAGAATTTTATGTTGTATTTACTACAATAAAAATTAAAATAGCACCTGCTACGTCTCCTTCCTATTGATTCCATCCTAGTCCAAGATCTCACCTCTTCACACCCAGGTAGCTGCTACAGCTACTGTCGGCCCTGGTTCATTCATCTCAGCTTCTTCTCATTCTAAGTCAATCTGTAGATACACAACAGGTCCATCTTGCTAGTTCACCACATAATTAATGTCTGGCCTCCGAACTTTCAAAGGCTCCCCATATCTTGCAAAGAGAACCAAAATCTAAATCTAATGAAATAAGCCAGTCAAAGAAAGCCAAATGCCATGAGACTTCACTTATATGTGGAATCTAATGAACAAAATAAACTAATGAAATGGAAAGAAACTCAAAGGTGTCACAGGGGAGGCTGGGAGGGGAGAGGGCTGGGTGAAAAAGGTAAAGGGATTAAAGGAAACAAACCCAAAACCATTACAGACAACAGCGTGCTGATGACCAGAGGGAAAGGGCTTGGGGAGGTAGAAGAGGGTAAAGGGGGACAAATGGTGATGGAAGGAGACTTGACTCGGGGTAGTGAACACACAATACAATGTATAGATGATGTGTTGTAGAACAGTATACCTTAAACCTATATAATTTTATTAACCAATATCACCCCAATACATTCAATTAAAAAAATCTAAATCTCCTCAATCCAGTACTCAATCTCTTATGCAGATCAGTATCTTCCAACTATCTAATGTTTTCCTTTTAGTAGCCCCCAGATTTAGTAGCCGGCTCATCCTACTTCCCCTCCATACCCCTCCCCCAAGCAAATCTCCACCTTCTACTCTGGCTTTTACCTTACAAAGTAACTGCTCCAATCTCTCTGTAAATCTAAACCCTCAAAGGCTAGCTCAGGTCCCGAGCATTCCAGGAAGTTCTTTAGACTCCTGAGGCCTCATTTATCTCCCTCTAACCAGAACGCCCACAGCATTCTTTGCATTGGTAGAACTTACTGGATTGTCTTCTAGACTCATACGGGTACATCTTATTTCCTGAGGGTAAAGTCTATACATTCCACTTGTTCCACTCTTTTCTCTGTTCCTGCAGCATGACGCAAAACACAACGCAGATCACCTGTTTAACTGAACACAAGGTACAACTTGGGACATGTGCATTTCACTGACTAGATGATGAAATCAGAATCATTCAATGTTATTGTATTTCTAAAGGTTAACCTGTGACACAAGACAGAAAATTGCTGTGACTCAACAAGACACATGGAAACTAGGTGTTATAACGCGGCAAACACAAAACAGGTGTTCTGAATCCTAAAATTAGAATCTGATGAAAAAAACTTGTTTAAAAGCTGGTATTGGGACACAGAATAATAAACAGTAGTTAGGTTGTGGGGCAGAACGTTGACTTTTGAGTTTTACTGAATGCATGGAAGAATGAGCCATGCATGCTGTAATGGGGCAAAAATGTAATCCCAGGCCTATGAAAACTTTAAATGTCAGTTTTTATGAAATTCAGGTTAGGGGGAAAAAATCATCAGTTACTTATATGATGGCAGCTGTCAGAGCAAGGTTCTTCAACTTGACTATACAAAGACCCAGGGATAGTATCTCCGCTCAGGATGCGACCCATGAGTAAGAATCAGCGAAGAGCTCTCGAAACCGAGGCTCTGGCTCTGTTTGGGTCCAATCCCTGACCAGCTGCAGGGCCCACAGTTGACACTTACCTCCCTGCGCCTAGTTTCTCAGCTCTAAAGCAAGTCCCACCACATCCCTAAAGGTTTTTCTGACTCAAGAATCCAAGACAAGTTCAACCACAGCTGCCATTCACATGTATGATTCTTACAACTTCAAATCTTTCTTCCATATTTCCTGAAGAGAGTAATGTATTCAGCAATCCCAAAGAAATGGATGCTAGTCAACCTCAAAAGATTTTGTTAGCTGAAAAAACTAAGCAAGCCTGTGAAAATGCCTCTGTCCTCACTGCAGCAGGACGTTTTCACAGCGGGGACAGTGCCCCAGTGAAGACACCCAAGACCGCTGCTGTAAATTAGGCCTAACCCACAGCACTTCTTATCTGTGCTGGGGTGTGCAGACGCGTTGCTGTAGTTCAAAGCAGAGAAGCAACACTCACAGGTTCTCAAAAACAAAAAAAAAACAACAAAAAACAACGGTGAGAAAGTTCTCATGCCCGGGGTAAGGGCAGTAAACAGTTGTGCAAATGATAACACACAGAAAAAGGAATGCTTTTGGCCATTCAAGTACTCAAAGCACAGACTCTTTTATCAAACACTCGTTATTGTTTCCCTTCCAACCTGTCAAAGCGCAGTGCCACTCCGATCCCGAGACAGAAACTTACCTACACCATCCAACTTCTCCCCCGGGTGCGGCGGTCCCCGGCCTGCTCCCTCTTCAATTCTGGCCGGTCTGTCTCACGTCCACCCCGGGGCGGTCGCAGCCCCGCAGCCGGGTAAATGCGCTTGACTCTCGGCAGCGCAGTACTGGCGTCCCGGGAGCGGCGGGTCCCGCCCCTCGGAGCCCAGAGCTTGGAGCTCGGAGCCCGCCGGGCTGCCGCCACGGCCACCTAGGGCTCTCTCCCCGCCCCGAGTACCACGCCTCGAGCCTCTGCCCCCGGGACAGCGGCGAACAGCCAAGCCCGCCCTCGGAGCGCACGGGGACCGGGGACGGCCAGTCCTCCAACGCTGTAGTCGCCCCACACCCGGATGGACCACTGTCCCTGCCCCGCCGGCAGCCCGGTGCCTTCTGCCGTGGCCGGCCCCAGAACGGCCGCCCCTCCGTCCAAGCACAGCCCCTTCCTCTCTGGGATGCCCCGCGCCGGGCACAGCCTCGGCTCACAGTCTCGGAGACACCGAGGGACACTCACCCTGGAGGCTCCTCCTGCCGCTGCTGCTGCTGGGACCCAGGCCGTCGCCCCCGCCGCTGCCACCGCCAGCACCGTGGTCCGCACGGGCGCCGGCAACCCCTGCCATCCTCCTCTTCCTGCGGCCGCCGCCGCCCTCTCCCCTCCTGTCAGAGGCTCAGGCTCCGGGACTACTCCAGGTTCCCCTCGCCGCCATTTTAACTCCTACTGGGAGCAGGCGGGGCTCAGCTCGGTGCGGCCCCTGGGCGCCTGCGCAGCGCTGCAGAGCCGGCCCGACCACCCGCCCTCTCCCGCGTCGACGCGCCCGGGATCACGTGGCCCAGCGGCGACGCGTGCACCGGCCGGCTGGGAAGGCGCGTTCGCGGCACCGGGAGCAGTTGGACCCGAGTGCGAGCCCATTATTCGCCCTCGATGCCTAGGACTGGGGCGCTGGGCACTCTGAGTTTAAAGTTCATTGTACCATACTGCTTGTTCCCTGAAATGGTGACAAATCATATCAGAATGGAATTATAACAACTGTGTTCCCGGACGACTAGGTCAACCAATTCATGTTTCCATTGGGCAGCCGGCATCCTGATTGATCGCACACAGTGCCTCAACCTTGAAAACGAGACTGTGCTACCGCTAAGTCTTTTTGGACATACTTGGTGTTTGGCAGTTTATCTTAAGCCCTGTCTACATGGTACTTTTACAGGCACCACCTTGCTAGTTAAAATCTTGAAGACACTGAAATTTTTTTCTTAACAAGACAACCTCATAAAGAGGGGAGGACAAGAACCAAGGCGAGCCCACAGTAGCCAGTGGAAAAGCCAAATTGCTCTAACCTAGATATCTCTTGTTTGGAAATTTGTGAACACTTCAGCAATGCAATAACAAAAACATATTTACAGAGCTGAGCTGCTTCTAATTCTCAAAACACCGGTAAATACAAGGCTTCTTTTGAACATCAAAACTACCCTTAGCCATAGTCTGGATAGGCTTCGAAATATCCAGTCCTTTGCCCAGGGGCATACACGTAGCATTAACAAGTAGGCAAGCCAAGACAAGAACGCAGGCATTCTGACCTTGGGCACGAGGCTGTTCACTGCTCACAGTTCTTCAATAAGAGTTAGCAATACAAGATGTATTTGTCCTCTGGGAATTTATTTAAAACCCTTTTTAAAAAGTGTTTACATTTTCAACTTTACTCACACTTTGAGAAACAAGTTTTTTTAGTCACACCCAGTATTTTTGTTGTTCTCAGACCACCTCTAAACTTCAAAGGATAAGAGCAATTTCAAATTTTGTGATATGTTTTTTAACCATCTCCGGGTCTGACATTTTCAATACATTTCTTATTTAGTTGAAGGATTTAACTTTTTTGACATCCTTGAATGGAAGAACTTTATCTCTTTGAATACGATCATTGCTTTTCTCTATACTTTTTTTCGGGTTTGTTGTATCTTTCTTGTGCTCATTCATCATCTCTCTACTTCCTAGGGAAGATGCCTCTTTCCAATTTGTACTCATTTTTTTCCCCTTTTACCCATACATTCCCCCCTTGAAAATTTGGAGATTATGAGCAGAGACTATAGTATTCCCTTGTCTAAAAAAAAAAAAAAAAATCCCCTCTAGCTGATAAGGTTCTTTCCAACTGAGTACACCGATGTGGACAACAGACAAGAGTGCATGGAAAAGTTAACAGGGGAACTCAAGAATTAGAAAATTTTAACTTTAAGTAATAGTTAATCAGCCTAGTAGTGCATATAAAAAGCTATTGTTGCAGGAATTGCAGGTACAGCCTATCCTAACTACAGGAGACCATAAGCAATTCAACCTTTGTGCTCCAGAAGAAACCATACGCAATGAGGATAGTATCTGAGTCATTGTGTTCCTGGACACATATAAAGAAAATCATCCAGGACACAGGGCCCAGATAGAAAATCATCGGTCAACAGATGGAAGGATGTTAGGGAAACTGGACTGCAGCTTTTATCTGATTAACCTCTTTCCTGACTTCCAAATCTCTTACCTACACTTTTCTCCATATAAAAACGGCTAGCTTGATGCCCTGGCTGGTGTGGTTCAGTGGATTGAGATCTGGCCTGCAAACCAAAAGGTCACTGGTTTAATGCCTAGTCAGGGCACATGCCTGGGTTGCAGGCCAGGTCCCCAGTGGCAGGGTACACAGGAGGCAATCACACATCGATGTTTTCCTCTTTCTCCCTGCCCCTCTGTCTAAAAATAAATAAATCTTTTTTTAAAAAGGCTGGCTTGAAAGGAAATGTAAGACAGTATGTTAGAGTACAAACCCACCATCTTCTCAGGGTGCCGGCCATCTGAATAAGGCGCCCGTAAATATTCAATCTCTGTCTCTGCTTATTGGTTAAGGGAGAGACAGGCAGCACTAACACTGACTTTTTTGGTTTCAAAGTGAGAAAATACAAGGGAAATTGGCTCATCTCCTGGGAGCAAAGAAGTGGCTCTAGATGCCCACCTCCTATTCCTCTTTGTTATTATACTTCCCTTAAATGCATAATGGAATCTTATCTAAATTAAAGCCACATATGTTATTTTTCATTACTTTGCATTTGTCCTCATCAGCTAAATATTGCATTAACTGAAAGAGCTGTTATTTGGAAACTAAAAATTCCATTCTCCATACCACCTCTTGCTAATTTATTAAAAGTTAAATAAGCCCTAGCTGGCGTAGCTCAGTGGATTGAGTGCAGGCTTGTGAACCAAAGCATCATGGTTCGATTCCCAGTCAGAGCACATGCCTGGGTTGCAGGCTAGTTCCCAGCAGGGAAGGCACGAGAGGCAACCATACATTGATATTTTTCTCCCTTTCTCCTTCCTTTCCCCTCTAAAGATAAATAAATAAAAATCTTTTTTAAAACGTTAAATAAGATCAGTCTCCACTAGTTACCCAATCTCATTTATTCCTAAGCTTCATTGCTTGACTTTGGTTCTGTTACCTAGAAACAACCTTAAAAACAAAATTAAAACAATACTGACAATGATAGCATTCTAAGTAATTCCAGGGTAACATCATTTTTCTAAAGTCTTTGATGTGGAAGTCTACCAAAGGCTTTTTGAAAAGCTGAATAAGATCTGCTGGTTGCACCTTGTCCCTTTGTCTGTCTGCACAGAAGAACTCCAGTACACCAGTGGCTATGATTTGCCTTCACAGGAACCGTGAGTGTTCTGGGACTTTTTCCACCAGTTCATTCATCCACCTTGTTTTTTCATATTATACTGCTTAGCTGCACCTTTGAGATACTGAATGAACTCAATTTACAAGTCCATCAGAGCTAAGATTTGTCAATTCAGTTCAGTTCAACACACATTTTTAAAGCATCCAGTGCCATTTGTGAAGCACAATACTAGAAGCTCAGGGTAAAAAACAAATAGGAAGATAGACTGAAGAAAATTTTAAATAGTGATAATTTTTAAATGCTAGTGCTAAGGTAGTATAGTTCACCCTTAAACAATGCCGAAGTTAGGAGCACCAACCCCCCATCCAGTCCAAAATTGCACATATAACTTCTTACTCTCCCCAACCTTAAATACCCTTGGTATCCATGGAAGGTTGGCTCTGGGAACTCAGCATATCTGAGGATGCTCGAGTCCCATATAGAAAATGGCACAGATCTGCGAACTTCTAACTGTAGATTGGAAACAGCACCACCATTGGTGGGGGGGGGGGGGGGGGAGGGGATCCGCATATAAATGGACTCTTGCAGTTCAATCCTGTATTGTGCCCTGGCTGGTGTGGCTCAGTGGATTGAGCAAAGGCTGAGAACCAAAGGGTCACTGGTTCAATTCCCAGTGAGGGCATAAGCCTGTGTTGCAGGCCAGGTCCCTGGTGGAGGCTGCATGAGAGGCAACCACACATTAATGTTTCTCTCCTCCTTTCTCTCTAAAAATAAATAAATAAAATCTTAAAAAAGAAAACCCTGTATTGTTCCAGGGTCAGTGTATTCAGCAGTAGTGAAGAGTATGGGTTCTAGAGAAAGTCTTCTGAAAATTTCAGAGAAGACCAATCCATCCCTGGTCTTTTAGTTTTTGGGACCCATGATAATTTCCCCACTTTTTTTCTTTAAATCTTAAATGAATTGGAAGTGAGTAAAAACAGTGGGTGGGGTTCTGTCCCTTGTAATAAAGAGTCCTGACTCAGTGTGGTGTTCCTCTCCCTGCTCCCTCCACCAGTGAGTGGCATTCCATCACTCGGTCACCTGAACTGGGAACCTGAGGCATTTTCTGCATTAACTGTGTATTCCACTTTCCATTACTCCAATCTGCTCCTTCCTTTTTATAACCACCCACCAAAGACCCTTCCCAGGCTCATCATTCTGGAAATATAATATGGAAGCTGGGTTTTTAAAATCACGAAGAAAAGGGAAATTTTAATTCTGCATATGCTTTGCATATGTGATACTGTTTTCAAGCATTTTTCTGAATCTCCTAGAGTTTAAAATGTGAAGAGGAATGAAAACATATGGTCAGCCCCAGGTGGTGTGTCTCAGTGGATTGAGTGCCAGCCTGGGAATCAAAGGGTCTCCAGTTTGATTCCCAGTCAGGGCACATGCTTGGGTTATGGTCCAGGTCCCCAGTAGGGGTGCATGAGAGGCAACCACACACTGATGTTTCTCTCCCTCTCTTTTTCCCTCCCTTCCCCTCTCTAAAAATAAATAAAATCTTTTAAAAACAACAACTCATGGTCAAAGTGCCCAGAGCAGTGACTGGTACTTGAAAAACATGAAAGACTTCCTCTGTGTACCAGGAGGAAAGAGACATTCTTATCACCAGAGACAGGAATCAGGGACAAAGGAAATCTATGTATACCATGAGATCTTGTTAAACTGACTCTTATTTTCCTATTCACTTCTCTGGCTCAAGCCCCTTTGTCTTGATACATTTTCACAATTTATTACTCTTTGTCCAGTTTAGAATATATGGATTTAACTCTAACTGCTTCTTTGGGTCTTCACTT